TTGTGCGCTTGGAAAATGCGGCGGCGAGTTCACCGTCACTTAAAGACCAGCGCGTATTATTAGACCAGCTCCAAGTGATTGTGTCCCAACTCAGAAGACAAAGGGGAACTAGTAGATGGTCAATGGCTACAGAAACAAATACTAGTCAAATTCCCCGAGCGTTTCCAGAGAAGGGTCCTCGAAAAGAAGTATTCCATGGAGGAAGCTTTTCGTATGGACACGTTACTCTCCACTCTGGATCAGATCATCTCTAGCGAAGAGAAGATCGCGCTTTTCACTTCCAAAACGTCTCCAGGTTCTCAGCAGTGGTCTACGAAAAAGGGCCGGACCTTCGGAGAGGGAGTTCAGCGCAACAATTCAGCGTGCATGTACTGTGGCGGCGACCACAAGGCAGCAGCATACACTAAATATTGGGAGAGCGTTCGAAATACCTACGCGAGCATAAGTTGTGCCTTATATGCGCATCACCTCAGCACCTAACATCGGAATGCAAGAAGCGGCTATGCTTTTCATGTCAGGGTAGACACCATACTTCGTGTTGTTTCAAACCGAATCCGACTCCTGTTTCGAGTTCGGCAACACAAAAGAAGTCTCCTGTTGTGACAAAAACAAAAGAAGTGGAGAAAAAATCGTTTCTCACGACAGGCCTCCACTCAGCAGCAAACCCATCAATCGGGTCCATAAGGAAGCACGGGGATTCCTCAATTAGGCAGCGTCCGCGATCAACCAAAGTGAAAAAACCCTCCAATGAAAACGAACGCGGAGTACGCAACCACAGCGGAAATCCCACTCTTGCGGCTCGAAATCGATTGGTTGACGAGGGCGGAGTCAACAAGGCTGAGCTGACGCCTCCTTTCCTGTTAATCCCGCCCCGACTGGTTAACAGTTGTCAGTGCTTGCTGGCATTGATAAACGCTAAGTTTCTGGAGTTCCGAGGCGGCGACGTGTATTGGAGAACTCACCAAAGGTGTGCGAAACTCGTCCACATGCCTTAAACTTCGTAGGGTCTTATTTCACGCTCTTCCACACCTTTTTCCTACTTTTTTTGATTAGTGCTTCATTGGCCACCTGTTCTAACAAATTTGACCCCTGAGACCTGCCAAAGTCCATCGCGGGCGCTGTCTTTAAAGAGATAAGGAACCCAAAGTGAATCAGTTTGATTCCAGTAAAAAGAACCTGACAAAACAAGAAGCTTTCTTACCGATAGGTGAACTTACCGTAATGAACGGTGAAACACGTAAACTGAAAAAAGTGACAGTACTTATGGATTCCGGTGCGAATGTTTTTTTTGACAACCCTCTGGTAAGAACTCCACTTCCGACAATTAGGTACTACCACCCTTCGAGTACGGACTTTCGGCTCAGATGACGTCATCGAGAGCGCGAGTCGAAAGGTACCACTGGACATATGGGATGAAAATGGTGACCCTCATAGGCTGGAGCTATTCACTCATGACATTTTGACGAGTGAATTGAAGACGGCTCCCATACTACCAGAAGATATCGAGTTCCTAAGGTCACTTCAATCCCCAGTCAACTTGGCAAAAGAGCAAAAGATCACCAAACCTCTAGTTTTGTTAGGATGTGATCAGATTTGGCAACTTATTAGACAAGACCAGACTCACATCCGTCTACCCTCTGGCTTACACCTGCTACCGACACGTATCGGACACCTGTTAACAGGGCGGCTTCACAACGCCTGCCAAGTGACACCACTATTGAAGAAGGACGATAGTTTGAGGGAATGGGACGAGTGCTGGTCCCTCGAATCAAAAGTGACTATGTTTTCCGTAGAAAACTCCTCAGACTCTCATAATGAACAGCAACTCTGGGAGCAATATTGGACCATGGAAAAAGATGGAACAGAGGAATTTACCTCAACAGAAAAAGAGGTACAATCCACAATTGATAAAGCAGTGTGGCAGAATTTCCTGGACACAGTTGAAAGAAGACCGGACGGCTACTATGTAAGACTTCCATGGAAGGAACTGGATGTCCCACTGCCTAACAATAGAGCCATTGCAATGAAAACGCCTAATAAGCGCTTGGAACTCCCTTCAAAAGGATGAAGAGCTCCTAGAAAATTATAACGGTATATTCCAAGAGCAAGAACGCTTGGGCATCATTGAGCAAGTAGATGAACATTAGCTAGTAGACGGAACGGTATGAAGCAATCCAATGGTGACGACAAAGTCGTCTTCAAGATTAGGGAAGTTACATTAGTTTGAATTGTATCTCTAAGCTTATTCTCTTAGTGATTTCTCATTATGTCTCCATGAGTCATTGTAACTTGATTTATAGCGAATCGATGAGCAATTGAAGGAATGCCAGTAAGAAGGCGTTAGCAGAGCGACGGGCAAAAACGGCGTACTATTTAAGCAGCAGATGGCCCAGCTGGGAAGTCAGACGGCTGGTCAAGTCTTCAACAGTCTTCCGAATATTCTTCTACTCACGGTGCTTAATATCCTCTTCTCAATATTCCGGCCTCATCATTATTCCTAAGTCGTAGTTGTTCTAATTCGAACTCTCTCTACATTCAATGGCTTCTCCTTTGATGGACCTGATTATCGTAGCTGTATGAACATAACAACTCTCTCTTAGGCTGTCTTGCGATTGTGGCTCATCGCTGCTCGAATTGCTCCTTACGTATGCGTTATTGCTATTCCCAGTCATAAGGCCTCTTATTTGCAGTTCTCATATTAGCTTGCAATATGTTTAGAATAGAATGTATAGTATTTATAAGTCAATTTATTTTAGTATAGTTAGATAAAGTTTTAATTAGCAAGTTTGACGGTATGTCTTCTCAGTGGTCAAACCCGCGTGGCATACTTATCTATTTGAATTTGAATACTTGCGAGCAGCTATCTAGTGTAGAAGACTTATCCTCATACGAGCACGGATGAGTTTTCCTTCCTCCAGGGACAAAGTGAGAGAACAATATGATCAGCTGGAAAACAAGTGAGAGTCAGTGAGCGTTGGTTCTATGGAAACTGAATCCAACGCGTCACCCCCGTGCCTATGGCTACAGAACCCCTGACATATTTCTCCCCTAGATGAGTAAGGATTCGTCAGATTACAAACCTTCGGATTACGATGACCACAGTTTCATTATCACCCACTCTGGGTACGCGAAAGTGTAACAAATTATCAAGAAGCAAGATCACGTACATCACTACTTGGATGAGGTATCATGTGTTTGTGCATTCATACCATGCACTTCGGAATGGCCGAATCTCACACCTTCTGCAGAGGCAAAGCTGTTCATTTTAGGCAGCGTTCATACTACAGCTGCGGCGATCGTCGGTACATGGCAGAGCGCGCCCCAACGCTATTACTTGCGCTCCGAAGGCTTTTGGGAAGAAGCGACTCAATTTCATGCTTTTTTTCCTTTAACTGCAATTTTCTTAGATACTGAAGCTTGGTTTGACACAAAAAAAGGTGAACCCAACTTAATGGCTTTTGTTTTCTATTTTCTTTCTTGATTCAGGATAGAAATGAGCAAAAAGCGTGAGAGCTTCATTTAGGGTAGGTTTTTATTGTTTCTTTTTTCATTCGTCGAGCTTATACATGAGGTTATAAAGTTTTCACCTGTTGATGTTGCGTAAAATGATTAGTGTTTTGGTTCCTAGGTGAGTTTTTTCTGTTTCTTTTTTTTTCTTCGTTGTTTGAACTCGACTTGTAAACTATAAATGTTTTGGAAGTTGGAACAGTTCAGACGATAGGAACTTTTGAAGGCGCTTGCATAAATTGAAACAATAAAAACAAGAAACAAAAAGAAGCTCTAGGAAGTGGAGTTGGCCTCATCCCGACCTAAAAAGAAGTGAAACCTCCTTACCTCATATTCCAGATCCGCTAAGTCGTAAGTTATCAGTTAGTAGCCATTATTAAGAGAAAAGAAGGTCTCACAAGTTGGATTTCCTTATTTATCAAGCGAGCAGTCCATAATAGCGTTGGGGCGCGCTCTGCCACGTACCGACGATCGCGGCGATCGCCGCTGCTGTCGCGAAGTATGAACGCTGCCTTATTCGCAAACGAGATTCCATTCAACAAGTTATCGCGGAATGTCTCCATGGTTTCTATTCGGAATTGCACCATACTCCGTTGTTTGCGCAACTTGGTTGAATGAAATGCTGAGTGAAACTTTATGAACGTTATAGACTGTGTCGCTTTTAAAGTAGCACAGGAGCCTAACTCACTTATTTTTTCTTCAAAAATAAACTCAACCACCAAACATCCCCATATGCGAGGTGAATGAGCTCGAAGTTGCAGTAGCATGCCACTTCCTCCGCTCAAAAGTGCACAGGAACAGCTGCCACACGGCCAGCCACACGCCTGACCATAGCCAGGCGCGCTACCTGTCTGCGCTCTATCGCTCTGGGAACCTTGGTGTCAACGCAAGTACTGCACCTTGAAGATAGCGCAGGAGGAGTACGGAGGTGACACTAGGGCATCACAACCCTTCAGCCTCATTCCTGCAGTTTTGAACGCAAAAAAGTGGCATACTACTGCAGTTGTGGACGCTTTCACCCCAGGTATGGTTAAGACCAGGACTCGGGAATGGGGTGTAGAGCTTGCCTTTAAGCTAATCAGAATGGAATGCTCTATTACGTTTTCAAAAACACTCCTACTACGGTGTTTATAAGGTCATATAAGGCGAATCTTGCAAATGCGAATATTTATTGTCAATTTGCTTCTTCAACATTCTGACCAGTGCAGGATAGAAGGGGAAATGAGATTCTCCCTGTTCACTAATTCAAGTATGAGTACCAAGCAATACATCAATTTATCTTTCAAATAAAAAATTATCACATGCAGAAATAATTAAGTGGGGAATTAGCAGTGCTTCCATTTATGAATGTCTCCAAGCTAACTTATAAAGTGAAGTGAAAAGATCATTTATGATACAGTAGCAGGTCGATAATTGGAATCATCCGTCGAGTTGCTTTGTCCATTCCTCAAAGAGTTCGACTGGATCGTCCCCTCCCTTCTCCTAAAATCACGTTGTCACTCCTAGAAACGACTTAGCGTATTCGATGAAATAGAACTCTCGGCGTAGTTTGGCTTGGTGGGGGCACGGAAGGGTCAATCAGCCATATGTGAATAGCTGTCAGCTTCTGGTGTCAAACACTCCATCACTAAAACTATGTACGATCCTCCATCCCTAAGGTCTTTCATTCTCGAGCTCGACAGTTGATATAGAGGCAGTTCCAAGTGATATGGGATGAGCCCAAGCGCGGTGTTCTCTATCAGTGGTTGTTTCATTTCTGAACCGACCACTATTGGTAGAAAGCGCAGCCAAAGTTACGGTCCTCATCATTGCGGACTGCCGGGGCGATATCAGCTATGCATGTTGATAAGTTATTTGAGTGTTAGGTGAGGGTGTGATTAACTGCTCCTCCGTTCCAAAGCTAGATAATTTAGATATCCCTTCTATTCTGTTCAAGAGTGAGGGCGGTCAAAACAGGCCCTTCATTGCCCGTGCCACTATTTCCTTATTATAATTGCTGATCACTCTTTTCTGGGATATAAGATGGCTAAGGTTTCTGGGGTACGCCCCTTCGCTCTGAGCGTAGCTGATTTCTCGCAAAAACGAACATGCTTCCCTCTCCCCCCCCCCCTCCAGCCCTCCCCCTACCACCCTTTTTTGGCTCGAGTTATATGCAGTTTTCTCGCCAACGAGGTCATGAGACAAGGTTATGCATGATGTTGCCAAAAGAAAAACGACAACCCGTTGCGAGCACTGGCCTTTGTTTTCACGAAAATGGCCTACATCCTTGAAAACAAGGTCCCATTACTCTTATAAGAGGTGGTTTAGTGGCGAGTGCTATCACAATGGACTCAGATCTTGAATCGGCTTGCGGGTCAATCGAGGCCATTTTTCTCGCTTTCCACTGAATTGCCGTTTCAGGTTTTCTACAAGGATGATAACACCGACTTCTACATGAGCTGACCCCCCCCCCATACACCGGACCTCATTCAAAATATCCTAAGATTTTGAATAGAAGTAAAATGAACGGTGTACTCAAAAGGGGTCGACTAACACCAAATGCTTCATTCCATTTTTCTTTTATGGCGAGTGGTGAAAATTTCAAAAGGCAGATAACGAGCTAGCAATTTAGCATTTCACTTGTCCACCCCTTGATGAGAAGACTTTCTAGATTTATCTGAAAATAGATGCGGACCGTGTGGTCGTCCGATAGAACTTATAGCAGGCGCTGTGGAAATCGCGACGTACAAAAAACGGGAGTAAGCTGCAAGTTCTCGAAGTAAGCCGTATGAAGATAAAGTAAACGTAGGAACACTCTTTTTATGAGTTTGTTCTAGAAGATCAGACCCTCATCCGCTGATCTTCTCGAAATAACTGATAAAAGAGTGTTCTTACGTTTTACGTTTTCCCAATCCTCTCCTGATTTGGGTTTCCCAAATGGGAAATAATCGTCTACGATGCATAAAATGCTCATATCACAGCTGGGCATGAAGTTCTCTTGAATTCTCGATTCACATCCTGCCACTTACTTGAACTTGATTGCGAGCGTCAGCGATCAAGATGGAGCCGTCAGTGTTCAGCACCTTGAGAGCAGGAATCGTTGGCACTTCGTACTTTGCTAGGTACTCCCTGTAATTCAATGACCATTCTCAACTCCGAAAAGCTCTGCAGTTTGGAATAATCTGTGATACAAGAGTCATATCAGTTATGGGATGCGGACGCTTGCATGTTTCCTGAAATAAGACCCAGATTAGGATCTGTGGACTGTTTACTGGAACTTTTTACAGTCCTCTACTGGTATCAGACTGAACGAGTAGCGCCAGCTCAACCCCAGTGAGCGTCAAAGCTGTGCAGACCAGACCAGTCAGCTGTTAGGTCATCGTTACGTAGTCTGACGGCGGAGAGGTCACTGGGCAGCTCTCGACGCCATGACGAGTCCAACCTTTATAGAGAAATGCTCTTCAGGCATTAGAAGACAGGCACATCGCGCATGACGTCAGTTACGGAGGCATTACCTCTCTTCCGCGCACATTGCTACGCCTTACTGCCAAGAAATCAATAGCACTCAAGGTGACCGTGTCAGTTGAGCCATCTTTCAGCTTTCCCCTTGCATCCAGTTCACGGCTACACATTTAACCAGTCTAAGTATTGAAAAGAGCTAATATTAGCGAATTGATTACCTAATTAGTATCTTAATATCCAAGACCAATTACTTACTGTATTCTCTCATCACCAAAAGGAATTGCTAGCCAGCCACCACAATGCTCCGTAAGATATTCCTGAAAAAAATGAAACTGATGCTTTGAGAGAACTGGAGAAATTGAACGACCCCAGTACGACTTCACCTACTACTCAGCGACAGAATTATGGTCAAAATTCAAACGTGGCCAACTCTTGTTTGAAGATAAGCGGGCATGGATGACATGTTTACGCAGTCACTCTCTTGCAAACGGGATTGCGTGTAAGGGATTGTGAATAAGCGCAGTTCGTGCGGCCTTTCCCACCAATCGTTGCAGGCTCGAGAAAGACGGATGAAAAGCGGAGTAACTGGCACGCTACTGCAGCTGCGGAAATGGCGCTATCACCACCCGACCCCCCCCCGCCAAAGTTCTCATAGTTTCCTTTCTTTCCTTTCTTACCCCAGTGGAGATCTTCCTTTCATGAAACAACCTCTCCTACCAAATTTTTAGTAATTGTCGTCTCGGAGGAGGCGGAAGGGAGTATGGGGCAGTGACAGCCCCGTTATCAGCGATGTAATTCTTGTCTTTGGAACTTAAGGGGGGGGGGGGGAGGATTTGAGGAGCCGTGAACGCATGGATTCGAAGAAAGTCATTAATAAGAAAGGTACTTCTGAGACCTAGGATGACACCCTCCCCAGCGGTTAAATACGACTCTTCTTATAATGCTCATGTTTCGCATGAGATGGTGTACAATAATCTACCCGCTTCTGACGGTTGTAAGTACGCATCAACTGGTCAACAGACGCGCCTCGTAAATGTGTCAGCAATAGCACACGTGTGATCATTAAAGGCAGTTGGCACGACAAATTCCTAAAGACGCGTAGGGTTGATATGCCTGGTCAGGAGCGACTATTTCGCGACCTGGGCAGGCCGTTGTGGAGCGGTATTTCCTATTGAGGTACACTTATAAGGTCCTATCAAGCTACAACATACACGACTCAAACGCCCGCCACGCCTGCTCGCCCACATGGATATGGTATGAACGACCTTACCAGGTGCTCGTTTTGCTTCATTTGCTATCTGAAATATGAGAAGAAGGGAATGGTATGAAGCGGCTGAATTGATATATGGGTACATACATACAGCCGTACCTACCGGAGCGGTCATTTGCAATACGCCTACGGGAAACTCGTCCGAAATTGCTTCTCAAGAAAGAAGGCTTTTCTTCGCAGTTCTCGACCGTTTCACTTCGTTTTTTCGCCGTTTTCCCACTAGACAGTGCCCTGCTAGCGTATTAGGCTGAGTACTGCAGTCGTCATGGACTGCGTGCCTGGACTAAACTCCTGATACCAGAGTCAAGAGCGATGCCGCTAATTTTCGCAGAAGCATTCTCTTTCGTCTTCCCCTTCTAACGATTTTTTCGCTCCTCCTGATCGCTTTCAATCATGTGTGTTTTGCTTAGCTCTCAACTCTTCGTAAGCCCAAACCTCCGAAAATTGTTTATGGAGCGAGTTCCGCAAACTGCTTGACCCCATTTCAGACACACCCCGAAATTCAGAGTTCAGGCCTCTTTATTGTCCCTTGTAGTAGTATGGAACGTTGACATGAATACGCTCGTGACATGAGCATCTTTCTCAGCCCTGATCAACGGAATATTTTCAATGCTTCGCCCATTAGCTATGCCTTCTCACTTGGCTTAAGGTGTGGTTAAGGACATCCGCGACGCAATACTGCGCTGAATCGGAAAAATATTCCTGAACCTTAAAACGCTACAGCATTGCCACGTCAAATCAGTTGCGTTTTGGTGTGGATGACGCGCACGTGACACCATTTGCAACGCCTCTTTTACAGCCCTCGCCGTGCCTCGGATCTGATGAACCACATCCTTGGCTTGCCATTGTCTGCGATTAGACCAAAGCACTTTCTTACCTTTAGATCTTCGTCTTCACGATCTCGCGACACGAGGACTATTTCAAAATTTTTGCCGGCCTCCTTGAGTGCCTTGTAGAACCTCTGAAGGCAGCGTTAAAATTTATAAGCTTTCACGGTAAAGGTTATATCGATTGCAAGCCACTCACAGCAAGCTTAGGAGTGAACTGGCGACATGACGGACACCACATCGCCGAAAAGTACAATGCTATCACCTGAAACAAACGTTTAGGAGCAAAAGTACGAGGGCCGGAAAACAA